GCATGGCATGGCTCAAACCTTGGACCTTTCAATACACAGTCTGGAATGCTAACTATTATGCTAAACCTGACTAGACTAGCTCGATTGTATGTTTTAAATTAATGGATTATTGAATATAGCAGTTTGAATATGTCATAAAATGCCGTATTGTGTATAATAATATAATAATTCAATTAGACTATTCTGTGGACTTGAAGTTCTGAAAAACACCTGACAAATTTTTAGTAACAATAAAATCTAATCTATTTATAACTTAAGTCATGGTGTTAAAACATAGTACACTAACTTCTTATCGAATTGAAGGTATTGGTGTAATAAGAATTTATGAAACTTTCCTATTTTCTATTAGCTGGAGTACCTTTCCCGTGGTTGGAAGTTATATGATTTCATGATTAATGAAAGGTTATCTTAGGACATGAAAAGCTGCTTCCCGTATATGTAATTATAAAACAAAAAAACAACAACAAAAAAAAACGCAAAAATACCCATAAAAACTGCAAGACACAAAATCGGAAACCGTAAATTTGTATGTATCTCCTATAGGCCCAATGAACTTCCATACCAAAAAACGCAAAAATGTCCATAAATCTGCAAAATGCAAAACTAAAAATTTGTATTTACCCTCACATGGACCTAATGAACCTCCATATCAATTTTGGTGAAGATCCATCCACACCCTGCGATGTAGTTACATAGACATACAACAGACAGTACCATACCATTATATTTACACATTCATGATGTTAGAAAAACACGTAGATTCAAGAACTCTTGATAGAAATGAATAAAAATCCTATAACCCGAGCGCTTTTATTCATTATATTTCTATAGATTTCAGTTTGATGCTCTTTTGGAACAATAATTAATTGTGCCTAAATATTCAATATCTATTATTTACTTTATGTAAGTGAACATGCTTTGTATGTAAAAAAAAAAAAAATGACTGCATTCTGTTCTTTATGGCAGTGCTTCCCCAATTTTTTGAACTCGTGGCTCACCATTAATGACCCAAACTTTTTGTGGCACATGTAAGTAAGTCCGTATGGTAGACCTAGTGGCCCACCCCTGATTAAGACAGGCAGAAATTACCGTTATACTGTGTATCAAAGAGATTAAATTTTAAATTTTAAAAATGTATTCAACTGATAATAAATTCAGATTAGTAAATAAGAATTACTTAATAATTGCAAGTGTTTCGCGGGACACCTGAGACCATTATTGTTGTATTGATTTGTTTGTAATTAAGCACAAAGCTACACAATGGGCTATCTGTGCTCTCCTCACCACGGTTATCGAAACCAGGATTCTAGTATTGTAAGTCCGCAGACATACAGCTGTGCTACTAGGGGGCCTCGTAATATGCTAATTTTAAACTTTTTAAAAGTTGTACTGAATGATATGTAAAATTACTTTATATCTGTTTTGAATAGTATAACTTTTTCAAAGGACTGATGAAGCATATACAAAAGTCATTTCTATCTTTCTTTAACAGAGTAAGTTTTGAGTGTCACTTTTGAATGCAAAAAATATTGTTAAATTATACTTCTAGACTAACACCACATTATAGGCTTCTTATTTTTAACTTTCAAACCAATTCATAATCTTCTGACCCAGGGAAAAGACATTTTTAACCTAAATGAAAAGTACACTAACACAAATGTACCTGTTCTTATGAGTTTTTAACCTGAAATACCTCTTACCTGAAGAAGAATCGGTAAGTGCTTTTGAAAGTTTGTAGTAATATTGAATGAAGTAAACACTTTTTGTCAGCCTGGAAATATTATTCAATTAAATAGAGAAGACGAAATATGCTGAATATTGTGTTTTTAATTTGTGGCAAATTGATTAACTTGATATATATACACCTATAATGTGTTTAAACAAAAAATATCTATAGAGTAAGTTTGTCATGAGTGAAAAAGTATGATTGGTAGAAAAGTTATGACGTTGAGTATGACATTTTCAGATATAAAAGACTGTTTAGTGTTGTAATGTTATTAATATATTTATTTTGTGTTTGTAATTCACTTATGTCGAGGCTAGCGAACGTTGTGTATGCAATCCATTCATATCGAGGCTATAGAGATTTCTAGAAGGCTTAAGTGATAGACGTATAAATAGCTGCGACCAGACGAGCAGAAAAGAGTAAAGTAAAGTCACGGGAAGGAAAAGTTCGGTCAGAGAAGAATTAAACCATCGTGGGAGTGAAAGTTGATAGTTGATATATTAGAGTGAGATTAAAATTTTTTCAATAAGATAAAGAAAATAAACTGTCTCGTCAAAGGGTGTTATAATCTAATTGAACTGGCCTGTGTGGACTTTGACAAAAGGCAGAAGTATGAAAGCAGACGATTATTGGAAATACAGGATACAACCGCAGTAACTCAACCACAATATAAGTGAACTATACACGAATGGTATTGGAACAGAAATAGAGAGAAAAATAGATAGGCTTGTCAACTGAATTCTAAAGCAATTAGATTGATCTAAGTGGACTTTTGACAAGAAGAAAAGAACTGTATAGTGTTTAAAATACAACTATGATTTCATATCGTAAAGAATTTTGTACATACATTTAATAATATATATTTTAAAAACAACTGAATTGGCGTGCTGTTCGTTTATTGTCGAATTTATCACCAACAAGTCACAGACACCTACTGTAGAAGAACCCCTAGCCCAACACACCTATATTTAACTTACATTACTATATATTTATACTAAAAAGGAACGTTTCCTGACAGACATGGACATATGAATCATCTTAACCTACGAAACACTGCCATGTTCACATATATATAGGACACATTATATTCCCTTTCTTTTAGCTTTGTAGCCTTGTTAAATTTTATGATATAATGTTTTTCTTAGTTATTAATTTTATGCTGACATTACCTGGCAAAGAAAAATCATTAAATATTTCAAATGTATACATTATACATACTTTTCAAATATATGTACAAACTGTACAAAGACTGACAAAACTCGCTACTCAAATCCTTGATGTTGTTTTGATTAAATGTATTGACTTACATCACGTAAATTGATTTGCAAAATTTAAATGAGATGTTAGATATACATGACTGTTTCAACTTAAGTTTAATGCGAGTGCTGTGATTTAGATTGTTTATATAGCACAAGTGTTAAATTTAGTTATTTTTAGAAACAATAGCTTATCACAAGTTTGTTTGCATAACTGTTTTTGAATTATACGTTGTGTAATTCAGTTGTTGTGTAGTCATATTACTAGAACCTTCTAAGTTCTTTTTAGTTGTTTTAATTCTTTAATTGAGTATTATTGCATCATCATATCTAGTAGTGTGTTGAACATTCTAGGCCTTGGTAGGTTTTAAATACGCCTCCAAAATGTAGTTCAAACTAGTTAGATAGATAGAGAGATAACATATATAGGCTGCATGATCCGAAGTTAGACATAAAGAGCGTATAGTGCCGATTTCTAAAGTGCAATTATTATGTTATTGTATTGTAGTAACAGAGAATAAATAATAAGTTGCCCTGTCAATGTGATCTAAAGTCATTGAACCAGCCTGTGTGGACTTTGACGAAAAGAGACAATTATATAAAGCCTTGGATACAACTGTGATAACCAACAGTGTAACGAACATTTGTATAAAAGTTTGACGTGTTTTAATATATTACTTTAAACAAGTGGACTGTGTGCTGTTGTTTATTTTTAAAATTTATCACCAACAAGTCACAGACACCTACAGCAAAGAATACTGCCCATACATAAACCTGACATGAGATGTCAAGTTTGTTTGTAAGTTAAAAGTTTTACTGCATTGTATTCCTCTGAAAAGCAAACTAAATCATTATATATTTCATCTTCCTATTTAAATTTCGTTTCCCTTCCAAAACAAGAAACATGTTGTCTTATAACTTTAAAACATGGAACATTCTCTGTTTTAGTTGAAACATAAATCACCTATAGCTGTCAAATATTTTATGATTGCATATATATGCTACAGATTGATTTTCAATTTCACCAAATGTTTTCTTTGATTGGCTGTACCCTATTCTATGGACTGCAGTTTCGCCTATAAAAGGCTCATCAGCTGGCAAATCAAAGTACAGATAGGTTTCTTATAACAGTGATTTGTATATAACATTAATTAAGCCCTTTTCAACAACCAATACAGAAACCTAAAATAATTTAGGTTTTGAATAATATTAGAGCTCGTGCCTAAATCGTTATTTTACATTATATATCAGACCAATGATTACATACATATGTTACAGATTTCTTTTCAATTTTACTTTTGGCCTCCTAAATCATATTTACTCCACGCACTCCACTTGTTTTTAAAATAATATATATTCGAAACAAGTTAAACTTAAAAGTATGTACAAAATTATTTAGACTATGGAGATCAAAGTTGTATCTTAAACACTGTGCAGTTATCCTTTTCTTGTCAAAAATTCACTTAGGACAATTCAGTTTCTTTACCATTCAGTTGGCAAGCCTATCTATTTTTCTCTATTTCTATCGCAATACCATTGGTGTATAGTTCGCATATTTGGCTGGCAAATCATATTCAACAAATCAACATTATAAGAGGCCTAACTGTATTTCTTTGATTTGCCAGCTCATACTGTACTGATGAGCCTTCAATAGGCGATACTGAAGCCCAAAGAAGAGAGTATGGCCAAACAAAGAAAACATTAAGTCTCTATGTCACAGATTTTCCTTTCAATTTCACCAAATATATACCTGTAACGTATATATGTAATCATTAAGTATTGGTCTGACTCATTATTGGTGATTGAAAATAATTTAAAAACCTCATTAATGTTTAATACTTTGTTTGATACAGAGTAATGCATTAACAAATCACTTTTTGCGGGAATTTTGCCCCCCACAGGAATTAATGGAAGTATCCATACACTAGTTATGTGACTGAAAAACCAAAACTGTGATTTCAAAACAACAAAACTTAAAACTTTATTTCTAAAACATATAACTAATTTTTGCATTCATACAGTACATCATAAAATAAGCAATGATATGATGTTTACGGATATGAAATTCCATTTTATGTGCTTCTTCATTTTTGTAAAGGATAAATTAAAGCCACACTCTGAAAATGCTTAAATGAGTTAATATAATTGATCGTGGGTAGGAAACAAACCATCAAAAGAAAAACTTAAATCTGTTGAACTTGTGCTTGTAGTTGAAAAAGTTGCTTTCTGTGCAGGGCTATTGTCTTTTCATGAGTATGATAGCTGTTCCTGATCGTGTCGTTATTAAAATGAGTCTTATTGGTTGGAGGAACAGTCAGATATTTCTTTTCTATGCTGCTGCTTCTTCTTCCTTCTCCGATCCACAGATAAGTTTAACGATCCCTTCAATTTCAATGTTTCCATCTTTATCGGCATGTGTCTCTTTAAATACTTCATCCACCTAGAAAACATTTACTTAAACCTTGAAACAACGTTGATCGTAATGATAGCTTGAGAGATTGTTTTTAAATATGTGAAGAAAAAGGCATAATTTAACTTTTTAAACAAAATGCTTCAAAAGCTGTAGGTATAAGCAAATGAAAATCCATAAGTAAAATTAGTTAATTACCTTTTTAAATTTAGCTTTAAACCATCACTTGCCATTACATTTACATAATTTTTAACTATTTGAAATTGTAATGCATGTTATTTGGTCTTTAAAACTTATAATTATAACATAATTTTATTTTGAGAACAGTCTGCCACATCTATGAATATATAATATAACAATTAAATTATCATAGGCAATTAATAAAGTGAAAAGTAGGGAGCTTTTTTACCTACCTCATCTTCTTGAAATTTATCTCCCCATGTTAAAAGAGCTTTCCTGAGCCTGAGATTCAAGAATTATAAAGTAATTAGTACATCGAAGAATGTACTTACATTTATTCTTATTGAACTGGAAGAATCAAGGAGATAATTTATACAACTGAAGGGACTTTTATGTAAGCCTGGTATTAACACATTTATATTATTTATCACAAGTGAGGTTATTTCAATGTATGGTATTACTGGAGTGCCTTACATATTTTTAAAGAAAATATACCATGTAAGATAATAAACAAATGAATGTTAGTTTGAAATAATATCACAGGAAATTAAACCAAACTTTTTTCTTTATCTTGTGAAATATTCACAGAACAAAACTGAGAATTTATTTTCTTTTGATTAGTTTTTAAATGCAATTTCTTCGCATCTTAATTTTGTTACAACCAATATTTCTTGTATGTTCAATACCTATAAAATATGAACACTGTGTATTATAAGTAAAACAAGTCATAAGAAACAATTTACCTAATAATAATAATTCTTGAAATTGACTATTTGTGTAATATCACCAGTAACAATAATATAATGGTATCTTAATCATATACTGCCGATGGGGCCTTTCACTCAATACCAGCGCTCATCTTGTCAGCTAACCATGCAACATATAAAGCCTTGATCGCAAATGCTATTTATTATCTCTAGTTTAGAAGATATTAATTATGTTACAGTACAGAAACAATTGTTAAAAATCATCAGCCCTATTATGGCATAATGTCACACAAACAATCAACCTATATATGCTTTCCTAGCACAAGGATTTATATACCATAGTAATTCGTGTTTTTTATTTTTGACATATCTTTCTTTCTATAAATTAATTGTATTACTGTTTAATGTCACTTGCCTGTCTTCATTAATTTTTCCACTTCCATCCTGATCAAAGGTTTTAAATGCAGTTTTAATTGTCTCTTCAGCATCAGTACCTAAGTAAAATATATAGTTTAATTGAAATACTTTTACAAAAAATTATACTTTATAATAATCTGTTTTTAGAGAAACATTATATTTTAGTGAAACAATATGTAAATCATATGTAATATTATACGTTTATTGTAAAGGTTGTTTTGTACTGTTAACTTCAAAGTTATATTTAGGACTAACCCAAATTTCCTAAGCTGGCTGAACCTCATGAAATATTATTGGATTTACAGCCGAAAATATTGTTAACAGAAAGGATACCCAAATGACGAAACAATGGGTTCTGATATTTATCAGTAGGTAAGTAAGAAAAATATATTTCATGAGCTATACTGATGGTCAGGTTGATTTTTAGTTTACTTAGATCAGTAATTATTATTTATACTAAACTTATGTGCCACTTGTGACTCAGTGATAAGTCTGAGGGCTTACAATGCTAAAACTCAGGTTTTGATACCCACAATGAGTGGAACACTAAATCTGTTGTGTAGCATAAGCTGCCCACCATGCTTATTAAAAGTAAAACCCAATTATTAGCTCTTTACACCCTCATATTTACCCCTGAGTCATCAGGGGGTGGCACATTTAGAAGGTTTTTATATCTAATAAAAAATTTATTGTTATTGATATTGTTACGTCTCTGGTCGTTAGTTAATTTCCCGTATAATTTCTTTCCGATGAAACTTTAGCGAAACAAGTCCTTTCTTAAATAAAACTAGTTTATTCTTTCTGAATACAACTTTGCAATACACTTTATTTCCACAGTCACGCTATAACAAACATTATAATTCACAACGAACGACTCACGTGCTTAAATCAACTGTCCGTATCTATCTCTGTCTGCAATTCAATTACATTGTTGCCGTCACTTCTTGGCCGTCTTATATACAAGAATACCGCATATCTAGTAAATACTCGAGGCTTCAGGAAGGGACATGAACGTTCTAGAAGCTCATGACGTGTTACCAGCGTCACGTGACTTCTGCTGTCGTAACACTGCCCTTTCCTTAGTATTGTTCGGGACGAACAATAGCCACTTACATTAAACCAATAAACAATTAACAATAACTTAATTAAATGTACAGAATTTACAAACACAAAATTAAAATTCAACAAAGTCTCTTCTTCTGTACTGGTCTCGTTGGCTTCTGCTTCACGTGGGGTTCATCTGCTTCATCA